CGGGTGTGGTGGTGGAGTCGGGTCATCTGGTACTAGAGCGGACGAGGGGACCCTGCCTGGTTCAGCTGAGCAGCCGCCTCTGCAGCAGCAGCAGCAGCAGCAGCCGCAGCAGCCGCAGCAGTCGCAGCAGCCGCAGCAGCCGCCGCAGACGAGGCAGGCGAGTGTCCTTCCGCCCGGGTGGCCTGGCGCTGGCGGTGGTCGTGCGCGTGGTGGTGTGCCGGGTGGTGGCTCGGGAGGCGTGCGTTGTCAGTACCAGATCCAGACCGGTCCTCGCCGCGGCTTCGTTTGCGGTAAGATCGGTCATACCACTCCTCGCTGTTTTTGTCGCTTGGACGACCTGTTTCGTCAGCACTTCGGCCCGTCGCCAGACCTCCCGGACTGGCACAGTTTGCTTAGTCGTAGGATTCAGATTTTTGACATGGACATGGATGCCATAGTTTCCGCTCAGCATGTGATGTATGCTGATGACTCTAGTGTGCTTCCCGCTTATTACTCATTGTTTGCTAGTGTAGGTGTGCCTAGCTTAGTCTCCCCTGCTGCGTTAGGCGTAGGAGCCCCTGCTTTGTTTAGCCTTGGTGCTTCCGCCGTCGCCCCGTCGCCGGACGCCACTGCTTCGCTTTCCTTCACCTTGGAATCTGGCGCTTCCCGGTGCTTCTTCCGCGACTTCACTACACTGACGCCGCTTCTTGTTCCTGCTGCCATCTCTCTTGCTGACCCCTCCGGCGGTCCGGTAGTCGCCCGCAGTTCCACCACCCTCCTCTGTTCGGCGGTTCCTTCGGGCTCTCTCACAGGTCTGCATATCCCCTCGTTCTCCAGGAACCTAGTTGGTGTCGGCTGCCTCCAGGACCTTGGCGTCACCACTACGTTCCCTGGTCACGAGCGGTATGCTGTCTGTACCGAGGCCGCCACTGGTGCCCCCCTGTCCACGTTCCCCTGGGACAAGGTGTCCGGCTTGTTCACCCTAGACACCGTGACCCCCCCGGCTGGGGCGCCCCTTCAGGTGGCTGCGTCTACCCAGGTTGCTGCTCCCTGCTCCTGTCGGTCCCTCACTCACCCGACTCTCCTTTGGCACCACCGCCTAGGTCACCCTGCGCTCCCGCGTCTGCGTCACATGTCCCAGCACGGTCTCGTCCTTGGTCTCCCTGGTTCTCTCCCCGCTTTTCCCTCCTCCCCCGCCCCACCCTGCACGCCTTGCGTCGAGGGTCGGCTTCGGCATGCCCCTCACTCCTCCTCGTTTCCCCCTACCGCCGCGCCGCTACAGACCTTGCACATGGACGTCTGGGGCCCCGCCCCCGTCCATTGGCCGCGTCGAGAGCGCTACTTCCTTGTGCTTGTCGACGACTTCACTCGCTACACCACAGTCTTTCCCCTGGAGCGAAAGGCCGACGTGCCTGACACTCTCATCCCCTGGCTTGTCTCTGCGCGTGTCCACTGAGGTCTCCCTGTCTTGCGTCTTCACTCCGACCGTGGTGGCGAGTTTGCCTCAGGTGTCCTTGGTCACTTCTGTCGTGCGGAGGGCATCACCCAAAAGTTCACCCTGCCGGACTCCCCACAGCAAAATGGGGTCGTTGAGCGACGCATCGGCTTGGTCATGGAGGTTGCTCGCACCTCCATGATCCGTGCCGGTGCACCCCATTTTCTGTGGCCGTTCGCCGTGCGCTACGCTTCTCACCAGCTTAACCTGTGGCTGCACCCCCAGCAGCCGCAAGCAGCACGAACGTTCGTGCCTCCGGCATGGACAAGCGCACTGCCCGCACCCTTCCCTGCGTCTTACTAGGTTTTCCCCTTGACGCGTCCGACTGGCACTTCTACCACCCGCTGTCTCACCGCTTCTTTCACTCTCGCGACGTCACCTTTGACGAGTCCGTCTCCTTCTACCGTTGCTTCCCCCACCACGGTCCCCCGGTTACCCCCCCCGTTCCTGGTCACTCCTTCCCCTGTGGTCCCTGCCCCCCCTCCTCCCCCTCCCCGTCCTGCCCCCTCTGGTGTGTCCCACGTCACTCCTCTCCCGTCGGTTGTCCTAGTTGAGGGGTCTTCTAACTCTGGTGGTCCTGCGGCGCAGTCCTCGCCGTCTGCCCCTCCCCAGGCGTCTCCTCCTCCACCGCCCCTGCAGCCGCCGTCGCCTCTGCTGTCACCACCGTCGTCCCCGCAGCTGCCGCCGCCGTCGCAGCAGCCGTTCGTTGCCTCTGAGGGTGCTGGCGTTGGAGTGGGTCCTAGCCCCGGTGGCCCTGGGGGTGGTGCCGGTGCCCGAGGGGTTTCGGGCCCTGGGAGAGTTCCTTCTAGGGGTGCCGGAGTGGAGTCTGCCGGTGGTACCCGAGGAGCGGCTTGCGGTCCCGGTGTCAGCATTGTGCCGCCGCAGCAGTAGTCCCCGCCGGTGTCTGCCCTTCGCCTGCTCAGCCTTCCGTCCCCTGACCCTCCGTCCGTTCCTATCCTCCCGTCTCCTCCTCTTCCCGTTTACGGCCCTGTGTTCCCTCCGCCGGACTCGTCCCCGGCTCATCTTCCCCCTCGCTCTCCCCTTGTGTCCCCTCCTCTGTCTCCTGACTCGACTCCTCCGTCTCACGTCTGGTCTCGCCGTCCCTCCCGTGCTCGTCCTGTCTCCCCTGTCACGCGCTCTCACCCTATGTTGCTTCGTTCCCACGCATCTCGTCCTCCCCTTCTCCCGTCCCCTCCTCCGTCCTCCCTTGTCGTTGCTCCCCCCCCTCTGTCTGACTACCTTCGTGCCGCCCGTCCTCTCGTTCCTCCGGTCCTTGCCTCTCTCGTTACCGACCTGTCGGTTCCGGTCTCGTGTCTTGACGCTCTTGTCGCTGCTGTCGCTGACTTCGCCTCTACCCGCCGCCTTGACTACGCCACCGCTCTGGTCTTTGACCCTGCCAGTCCTTCGTCTGTCGGGGGTGCACGTGCCCTGGGTAGTGACGTCCTGGAGGACCGCCAGTTCGAGCTTGCTTTCCTGTCCGAGGCTGCTCCCCATCTTTGTTCCATGCTGCTAGTCTCTGAGGGTGACCCAGACGCTTTCGACATCCCGACCCCTCGCACTTACGCTGAGGCGACCTCGGGACCCTGGGCCTCCCAGTGGATAGCTGCCATGGAGTAGGAGATGGCATCTTGGAGATCCACCGGCACCTTTGTCGACGCAGTTCCCCCACCTGGGGTGAACGTAGTCGATGGTCGTTGGCTCTTCAAGGTGAAGCGCCCTCCTAGAGAGCCGCCTGTCTTCAAGGCGCGCTATGTGGCTAGAGGTTTCAGTCAGTGTGAGGGGGTGGACTTCTTCCAGACCTTCGCTCCGACCCCGAAGATGACTACTCTTCGGGTTCTGCTACACCTAGCAGCTCAGCGTGACTACGAGCTTGACTCCCTCGACTTCTCCACTGCCTTCCTTCAGGGCAGCCTACACGAGCAGGTCTACCTGCGTCGCCCTCAGGGCTTTACTGGCACCTTCCCTCCAGGGACCCAGTGGCTCCTGCGGCGTCCTGTCTACGGCATGCGGCAGGCTCCCCGTGAGTGGCACGTCACGCTGCGTGCTACTCTTGCTGGCCTTCTGTTCTTTCCTTCCTCGGCAGACCCCTCACTCTTCGTTCGTGCTGGCCAAACTCCGTTCTACATCGTTGTGTACGTGGACGATCTGGTCTTTGCCACAGCAGACAGGGACGCACTGGACTACATGAAGGCAGAGCTGCTGAAGAGACACACTTGCACTGACCTTGGAGAACTGCGCCGTTACCTTGGCTTGCAGATCTCCAGGGACAGAGCAGCGCGCACCATCACCTTGACTCAGTCACACTTGGTGCGCCAGGTCCTTCAGAGGTTCGGCCTTCAGTTCTCCTCTGCACAGCTCACCCCTCTGCCTCTAGCCCACAGACTCTCCGCTCCAGTTCCTGAGGAGTCAGTAGAGCCCAGTGGTCCTTACGCAGAGCTAGTGGGTTGCCTCATGTACCTGATGATTTGCACTCGCCCTGATCTCGCATACCCTCTCAGCATCCTGGCTCGCTTTGTGGCCACTGGCAGACACCGACCGCAGCACTGGTCTGCCGCAAAGAGGGTTTTGCGTTATCTTGCGAGTACATCGGGCATGGGGTTAGTGCTAGGAGGACGCAGGCCAGTGGTCCTTACTGGACACACAGACGCTTCGTGGGCGGACGACGCTGAGACACTCAGGTCTTCCCAGGGCTACTGCTTCAGCCTTGGTTCAGGTGGCGTCTCGTGGAGAGCTACCCGCTCCTCATCTGTTGCCCAGTCCAGCTGTGAGGCCGAGATCTACGCTGGTGCCATGGCGGCACAGGAGCTCCGCTGGCTGACTTTCTTGCTCACTGACTTAGGTGAGCGGCCTAGCTCTACCCCGGTCCTGTACGCTGACAACAGAGCCATAATCCTTCTGTGCCAGGAGCCTCGACTCGAGGGTAGAGCGAAGCATATTCAGCCCGGTACTTCCTCCTGCGCGAGCTACAGCAGCGCCGCCAAGCTCGCGTAGTACACCTGGCCTCCGGTGCCAACACAGCTGATATCTTTACGAAGGCCCTTGCGCCTAAAGATCATCAGCAGCACTGTGTACAGCTCGGTCTAGTTCATGTAGCCTCTCACTTGCTAGGACCTTGACCTTGTACTGTCCTATATATCTATATGTACTCAGACTGGACTTGTGTCCTCTACCAGTGGCTGGACTAGTAGTGCTGCCCTGGTCTTGTTCTTGCCTTGCGTGTACTCCTTCTGACTGGTCTTTAGACCCTTGTCTCAGTGGCTGGACTAGTAGTGCCGCCCTGAGCTGCTTGTTCAGGACCTGCCCCTATGCAGTCTAGGGGGTGTGTCAAACATCTGTATCTCTTATATTTGCATAGACTATATAGGATCACCTCTTAGAGGGTACAACACTTAGATATATTCACCTGTACTCTCTCTCTCCATTATTATTTCATTCAGTTTTGAGAGCTGCCCCTTGTCTAGCCAAGGGGGTGTCAACATATAATTTGTAAATGTTATAGGCTAGCTAGGTGCATACTCATATTGAGTAGAACCCCTTAGGTTATAACTTATGTCCCCATGTACCACGTTATTCTAGTCAATTCTTTCTGCGCTAAGAGTTCCGCCCTCGAGCATCTCCCTGATTCTCTCACCCGCCTCTCCTGCCTGCATGTCGCAAGTTTAAAACCGTCATGGCTTCGAACCTTTATTGCTGCTGCATCCGCTTCCGCCCTCCCAGCTTTGAACAGCTGACAAGGCTCAGGAGTTAAACTTGAGTGAGTGCAAGCAGCTGGAGGCTTTCCCCTAGAAAATCATGCGTTAGAGGGGTAACATTTCACACTTCGTGGACTCACATTCACCCAAGACCATTGTTTAGGCACAGGTTGTGCCGATACACCTAGAGCCTTGCGGGTTTGAGGTTGAGGAAGAGATGGGGCGTCACTGTAGTTGCTAAACTGCATACCGTGCTGTTGAAAAGCTAATGTGCATGATCCTCAGACCAATTGTAACATTGTCCATCGCGGCCTTTTCCCACTGATTTGCAAGGTGCTTGCTGGGAGGAGAAGCCCAGTGTTGGCAAAGAATGTGCTCTGCTCTCGCATGCTGTATGTGGGTGCAGCTGGGTGCAGCTGGGTGCAGTCGGGTGTATCTGGGAGCAGTCATGGCATGGTCAAGGCGTGGGAAGGTGGAGCGAGGGGTTGGCAAGGGCGAGCAGGGAGGAAGCAAGGGCCACCACTTGCACTGAGGGGTTCAATGTGGGATGTCTGATGGCTGCTGCTGCCGCCCACACCTGCTGCTCGTGCCTGGTGGTGGGGGGGAGGAATGGCAATAGACAGAGAGAAAGGAAGAGTGAGAGTAAGAGGCAGGAGAGTATGGCACTGGGTGTCCAATGGTTGCTGCTGCCGCCCACACCTGCTGCTCGTGCCTGATGGTGCAGGAATGGTAACAGGCACAGGCGATGGCACAGACAAACCATAAGCTACCGTCACGCCAGGATGGTGCACGAGCAAGGAGAAGCATCACTCTAGCAGGAAAAGGCCCGGGCCATTGAGATGATGGCGAGGCTAGGAGCCACCAAGAACGGCAAAGGCAAGGCAACAGAGGCTGTGTCTGATCCGCTTTCTTTCTGCAGCCCTCCCCTCGTACCCCACTCCTCTTCCCCTCACCCCTTTCACCTACCTCTCACCTCTTATCACCTCTCACCTCTTATCACCTCTCACCTCTTATCACCTCTCACCTCTTATCACCTCTCACCTCTTATCACCTCTCACCTCTTATCACCTCTCACCTCTTGTCACCTCTCACCTCTTACCACAACGCCACACAGCAGCCACGCATCCGGCCAATGAGCTTGCACGATAGCACACACCGTGAGGCTTTGCCTCACTGCTGCACCGACTCCAATACAAATCACTGACACCCTCCCACCTCTCACCTCTTGTCACAGCGCACAACAGCCACGGACCCAGGCCCAGTGAGATCGCAGGAGAGCACGAGTAGAGACGCCTGGATAGCTGCAGCACCCAGCGAGCCAAAGAGGGTCAGCAGGGAGTCCCCCAGCAGCCTCTCAAACACCTCCCTCTGCATCCCCCTCTGCTGCCCGCTCTGTTGCCCACTCTGCTGTCCTGCCTTCTGTTCGGACCCCCCTTTCCCCTGCTGCTGCTGGCGGCTCAGATTGACGGATCTGAGAGGAATGTGCAAAACCGAAGAAGACAAGAGAGGAACCCGGGAGAGGAATCAGGGAATTAGGCAACACGGCAGCAAGGCAGGAAACGATACATGAAGCCACAGAAGCAGACGCAAAGAGGAAGAGGCAATTACCCCCGTTCGAGTCTTAGGATGGTAAGGCACAACGCGCATGGGCTTTACTCCTACCTCGCATTTGAACAGATTCGAGGGCCAGGGTCTCTCCCTCACTCCCCCTCTCCCCCTCTCCCCCTCTTCCCCTCGCCCCCGCTCTCATGAGCACCGAGCTCCACGATCCCTGCACTCACATGGCGATGCGCATGTAGCTGTGCTGCCATGGAAGGCTGTACGTCCTCTGCTGCACCGCCCTCTTTTCCATCGTCCCGTGTTGTACCGTCCCCTGATGCACCGTCCCCTGATGCACCGTCACTCTCTCCTTCACAATCTCCTCCCCTCCTCCCTAGCCGTCCTTTCCGACCTCCTTATTCGCCAGGACCAAGAGCCCGCGCTGGTTGTTGACGCGGCTCGCATCTATGAAAACCAGCAGATTTTAATTCCTGGAAGCCCGTGACCGTCTAAAATTATGTGAAAATGATTCCGTTTTGAGACGTCTCACTACGAAATCATCATCTCACTGATTCCTGGACTCGCGTGGCCGTCGAGAACTGAAGCAGAGGCTACTCAGCTCGCCGATGGAAGGCTCGTCCCATCCATGAACCTGCTGCATGAGGACGGTTCCACACGCCTCGTCAGAGACGCGGAGCTGTTACAATGTCGCGACGTTACAATATTGCTACGTCACAATATCGCTAAACACTCTTGTGACAGTGCACCGGAATGCAGGTAACAAGGTGAGGCAGATCGCTCGCTGCGTCGTCCCGTCAGATGACTGACGAACGGCTTCAATCAGCCGATAGGGATCGGAAAAGCTCATGAAAGATTTTTTACGAAATAGTCACGGAGAATGCAGAATAAATCAGGGAGACGATTGCGAAGTTTGCACAGTAGAGGAGGGGGGAAATCTAGAAAGCGGAGAACAGAAGGAGCGTCGGTGGCTCGTCGTTATCAATAGCCATTCCCCCCAGTTGGGAAATTCACTTTGAAGGAGGTTACTGGACTCAGTGGCCCGCCCTTCTTCCTCTAGGACTCAGCGACTTCAACGGATCGCGTCCCGCTACTCGCCATAACTAGTACACGATTCCAAGTTTCCAAGCTAACTGAGTAAAATTCATGGTGGGACAATGCCATTGGAGTTTAGTACGGTGTTGGGAGGGTTGGTGCTTCTGCGAAAGGTCAGGTGGATGAGCAGCGTGGACAGGTCTGGCGAGGGCGTGGGATACTCACAAAAGTCAGCGACATTCGTGGGACCGAATCTACGGCTAATCCGGCTATTGATTCAAACATACCGTAATCCCCCATATAAAACACCCTATGGTTGATATGAAAATTCACTAAAAAAATGAGTGGGTGTTAACAGTGGCCCGGAAAAATATAACGCCATGCAAAATGAATTTGAGTGTTCCAGGCCCTATTTGCTCATAAGGGTGCGGAACGGCTGCTAACGAGGCGAGAAATTTTGATTTTCTCGTCTCCCCCACAATATCGTGAGCGTGTTCCTACGAGCCTCTTCCCAGGCAACCTCTTCCCAGACTCACGCGCGACCTTGAGAGCATGCTCCCAGGACCACTTTTCGGAATCCTCCCGTTTCATATTTGAGTTCCATCGCTCGTGACCACATAAAACCAGCTGGCATCGAAAAATTACCGTGCAGATTCGCGCTTATCTGAAAATCTGCTCGTCTGAAGTGAGATTTTAAAGCCCGAGTCTACATTGGTTGGCTATCAAGTTCAGGATTCCTGAACTTGCTTTCGTAAAAGTAGGGGTAACCCAGAGAAGAGGACCACCACGTCGCGACCCTTGGGGAAATGGGGTAGCGTGCGAAATTTGCTATATGAGACAAACCTCGAACTTACTGTTCACTCATACTGAAGTTGAAAACGCCCGGTACCATTCTAGACGCATCTTTTAACTGTATTCTACAACTGCTTTACTTTCCTACTTTCTATATATTGCTGTATGTTTGTTTCTTTTAATCAATCACTTGTTCTCACATACTAGTACAAGGGTTCAACTACTCAACTTCCGCTGCAATACTCAAAGTCTCCTTTTACAACTTCGACTTAGTCTCTGAAAAGATCCTAAGGGCTTTTCTCAGCCCAACATGGTATCAGAGCTGGTCAGAGACCAAACTCCCAGCAACTACGCTCTATCTACAATCAGCACACCACCGACTTCATTGATTACAAGTCATGGACTGCAAGGGCAAGAAAACCTCTACGGGCTCACCCAGTGCCCAAGACACTCAACCCGGCAACTCTGGACTGCACACTTCAGGACTGCAAACCGAGACCGGCGCTGCTCAAGAACCAACAGGAAGAGCACCAGAAATGGTGACCCCATCACCCTCCTCAAGCGTGGACCCAAACCTTATGGAAAGGTTCTTCAGCTTCATGTCGCACTTCGACCAGCAGCAGCAGACAAGGACACCTGCGCATTCAACACAGAGAAACGGACGAAACATGGGATTAGCGCCGATGAGCCTCGATAACTCATCGTTCGGGTGACACAATCACGCACCTACCTTTGCGCCTTATCACTCTTCACCGGGGACGTTCGAGTTCATGCCGCCTCGTGCCCAACCAACAGCAGCTGCATCACAACAGACACCAAACGAGATTTTAAGTCTCCAGGCGCAGTTTTCACACGTGATTAAACTGCAGACATCCTCACCGTTCAACGGACACGACTGTTTTACCTGGAGCTTTGAGTTCGAGCTGCTGATGGAGGCTGCGCATCTCTTGGGATACTTCAACGGGTCCCTGCCATTCCCAAGCAACGGCACTACAAAAGAGCAAGAAATTTTCACGTATCAATCGCTGCTGGCGTACACAGTTCTCCTGCGGAACCTGTCACCACAAGAACAGCAAAGCATGAGAACGTATCGGAACTATGGAAACTCCGCGGAATTCGCATGGCATCACCTCAAGTGTCTCTATCAAGCAAACGACAGCGTGACACAAAGCAGACTCCTGCAGCAGCTGACAACAATACAGATGAAGACCGGGGAAAAGGCGATGCAGTATATGAGTCGATGCCAGACACTCCGCGACCGCCTGCTTCGGTGCGGAGGAACAATCACTGAAGAAAGCTTCATGACACTTGTCCTCGCTGGGCTCGGGCCAGAATGGAGAACCACCCGCTCGCTCCTTCGCGCCCACGGACGAATCTCGGAGATGCACCTCTGCGCCGAGCTCCATGCTGAACAACAGGAGATGGACCTGTTCGAAGAAAGGCAACCATTAGTCTTCTACACTCAACGAAGGAACGACAACAACTACAACCAACGCGGCAAACAAGATCAACGCGACAACAGAGGACTCACCATTGTGCCGCCAATCTGCCACAACTGCCAAACATCCGGACACTCCAAAGTCAACAACACACGTCCCCGAGCTTATTGTCCAGTAGACCCACAAGTCGCCTCCACTCAAGAAAGCCCGCCGAGGCGCTCCTCCACATCTGCACAAGGTACACCGAACATCATCAACTGCATGGTACACATCGACAACTGTGCACCCGGATCACCGCCCACTTACGCTCCAGATGAAGAAGAACTGTCACCACCGCGCTCACAAGGACTTCAGGTCAACCCAACATACGCTGCAGTTGCCAACGCCGAACCCACCGGGCGAAACACTTGGTTCTTGGACAGCTGTTGCGGCCAACATATGTGTTCTTCCGGGTGCTTCGTGCAACGAGAACGACGTCTCAACCGAGATGTCATCATCACCGTCGCCAACAACGAGAACCTGAAAACAAACAGACAAGGAGTGGTTCAGTTACAGTCCATGGAGACAAACGCTATACTGCAACTCAACAAAGTTCTCATCGTCGACAATTTGGGATACAACTTACTCAGCGTCAGCCAGTTAATGGCAAAAGGGGTTCACCTGGAATGCGACTCGGACTCCAACGAATTTCGCCTTTACCACGGGAAGGGCGGTCTCTTCATCGGTCGCGTTCTCCTGAAGTCAGGCATCTTCGTGTTGGATTTCGTCCCCGACCGTGGTACTGCCGACAGCAATGGCATCGTGTCGTTCGTCGCCTGGACACACCCGCCAGATCTTGACCCCAACTTCAACCCAGATGGATTCTGGTACTCCAACACCATACCTGTAGCAGAGAGAACACAAGCGTTAGCAGTCATCAGACAAGAAACACAAGTACCAGCAAGCGTCCCTTCCCAAACATCACCTACAGTAGCAGCAGCAGGACCCAGCCGAGCACCATCACCAGCGGTCCGAGGACCGCCAACCGAAGCAGATCAACTTATGCCCATCACACGAGAAGTCTGCCAAAGTCCCGCCACGGTCGTCGCGTTCTTCTCCAACACCGACATGTAGCAACGCTCGCCCGGCCATCGCGCCTCCGACGACATCTGGCACCAACGCCTTAGGCATCCTGCAAACAGCACGGTACTACAAACCATCCAAGCCGAAGTGTTAGAACAAAACGCCCTTCTTACAACGAGCGGCCAAGAACTTCGACAACCTCGCGCACGGTGCTTCACGTGCCCCGAAGCAGATCTTCCCCACCAACCTTTTCCATCACATCACAATCCAAGTGCACCTGCATACACACCGATGGAAAAAGCTTACAGCGACATCTTAAACATGCCTCGAGACGACACTGAAGCCGACTTCAACTATGTCATCACGTCCATCGATGCAGCAACAAGATATGTTTGGCACTACAACCCCAAGACGCGAGATCAAGCTTTCGAAGCATTCACAACATGGCTCCCCATCGCTGAACGAGAATCTGGAACTAAGCTCAAGAGCTTCCAGTCAAACGGCGCACTGGAATACCAGTCACAACGATTCAGGACCTACTTGGCAGAAAGAGGAATCAGACGCCTGGTGTCTCTGCCCTACGCTCACCAGCAGCAGGGGGTCGCAGAACGAATGAACCGGACCTTGCAGACGACGATGTGGAAGCTGCTCCTGGGGATGAGACTGCCCAATACACTGTGGCCAGACGCGATGACACATGCAGTCGACCTGCACAATTTGTTGTCCTCGTCCTCGCTTCCCAACAACGCATCACCGCACCTGCTGTGGACAAGAAAAAAGGGCAGCACAAAATTACTTCGGGTTTTCGGCTGCATGGTACAGTACAGACCCCACACAGCCCGAGCAGGACGCTTTACTCAACGAGCACGGTGGGGACTACACCTCGGCATCGCAAAACATTTTCACGCATGGAAAATCCTCGACACACAAGACAAAAATACCGTGGCATCATGTGATGTGATCTTCTACGAACGACTGACGCTGCAGCACTACCTGGACAACGTCGCCAACACAGACGACCCCATCGACGGCTTCGTGGGCCTTCGCTCCTTCGCCTACCGTGCTGCCGAAGCTGACGCAGCAGAAGAAGACGTACCTAGAGCTTCGGAAGCTGCCGGACCACTCCCTTACTGTTCCGTGCCTGTTCCACTCGACGAAGACAATCCTCTCGATAGCAACAACCTCGACACCCTTTACCACTTCACTGACCAAGGTTACGTTACACCTCACCCGGTCGACACGAATGTCTCAGAACGCATCGGCCCAAACTTCTTACCTGATCCAGAAGATGGTGACGAAGCAGCCTATTCCGGGAATGAAAATTCCCCTCGACACACACCCACGGGACTGCAGATACTCAGCTTATGGGTCTCTGTCTAGCAACTGCCGCCGCCATCTCCGCGCGAGCCAACGACTCTGTCGCAGGCTCTGGGGGGGGAACATAAGGCGAAATGGAAGGAGGCAATGGAAAAGGAACTGAAAGCTCTGCAAGACCGAAATACATGGAAGCTGGTACCTGCAACGAACATCAACGGGAAGAACGTACTCTCGGGAAAGTGGGTGTACCGCATCAAGACCAATGCGGACGACTCCATCGAACAGTTCAAGGCTCACTGGGTCGTACGAGGATTCGATCAACGATACGGAACCGACTACACAGAAACATTCGCCCCAGTCTCCCGTCACACCTCCTTGCGCATTCTACTCGCCGTTGCGGCCACGAAGAAACTACCACTGCGCCAGATCGACGTCGCAAACGCCTTCCTGTACGCACATGTGGACGCCGAGGTCTTCGTCGAGCAGC